CCTCCGACGGCGCCGCGGGCGACCAGGGGCCTCCTCCAGGGTCCCAGGGCCGTGCCGTGATGGACCGTGCGTCGACTGGCGGCGAGCGAGGGGGGGAGGTGAGAAGGAGAATCGCAGGCCTAGAGATTGTACCAACACCAATATCGGCGCTGTGCCTCCGCGGAGGGAAGAAAGATCCCGATCTCGGTGATGGTGGTAATATTCTGGCTTCCAAGGTGGCCGAACTATTACCACCAACACCGAAAATCTAGGATCACCTTCCCCCTGTGAGGCAACCCCCTGTCTTGGTGTTGGTGCCAATTTCCAGGCCTCCGAGAGAAGGCCTTCTCAGAAGGAGGTGGGACTTCTCAGAAGTCCTCGGGCCTTCTGGGCTGAGCAGTTTTCTGTGTGCTCGGGGAAGGCGCAGACAACTTCTCAGAAGGCTGGGGGACTTCCGAGCCCTCTGAGAAGGCCTTCTCCTTCTCACTTCCCCCCCTCGCTCGCCGCCGAATGTGGTTTTCTGGTCATAACTCGGGTTTCCGGCGGGCGTTCGGGACGATCCGGGCACTCCCGGAACGTCCTCGGCGAGGCGCAGCCGCTGGAACGCATCCCGAGGGCGGAACACCGCCAAGAACTCACGAAAACGCCCGAGAACCTAGAAGCTCGAAGTTCGAACCTCGCAGTTTCCCCCACTCGCTCGCCGCCAAGTCGAGGTCCCTTGGGGCTTCGAGGCCGCCGCACGCTCCGGCACCGCCCGGTCCTTGGAACTCCCCGAGCGGCGACTCGGACCTCGAGAGCCTCCTCCTCCCCCTCCTTTCCCGGGCCGCGGCGACCGGGGAGCTTGCGGCATCCAAGAACCTCGATCCTCGACCCCCGAACTCTCCTTTCCTCCTCCTCCTCCTCCTCGATCCCCGAACTTCCTCCTCGGACCTCGAGAGCCTCCTCCTCCTCCTCCTCCTCCTCCTCGATCCTCGAACTTCCTCCTCGGACCTCGAGCGCCTCCTCCTCCCCTGTTGGGCTCCTCCTCCTCCCTCTCCTCCGCCTGTCCTGCGGTGGAGCCACGGCACGGCGAGAGAGCGGCGCAGCGGCACAGCAGGGGCACGATCGTCATGGATCCCTCGAGGTTCGCGCGCTCGCCAGGGCTCGTTTCGATTTTTGCGACTACTTTTGATCTGTCGTCCACAGGCCCGACCTATCTACCCCTATGGCCGTTCTCCTCGTGGTCCTGGGGGGGGGGTGTCCGGAAAAGAGGCGCCCGCGAGCGGCCCCTTCTGGGAGGTCGAGGTGGAGGAAGCGCACCGCGAACGAATGGCGCAGCCCGTCAGACAGGGCTCGTTTCGATGCCTCCGATTCGATTCGGTTCGACTTCGATGGCTTCCGATTCCGATCCGGTTCGACGTGGGATTCCGATACTAGGACTCCGATGCCTCACTGGAGGCATGCTACCCTGCCGACTTCCGCCGGTTCGACTTCCTCCGACTTGGGTGTCGATTTCCGCCCATCCGATTCATGTCGATCGCCGATTCGACGTATCGATATACTCTCATATTAATAATACGAATGCTACTTCGAATGTAATAGGATAAGAGGGGTAATGATAACAAGACGACCAATGATAGAAGTAGCAATAATAGTCATAACAATGATACTGATAGTCCTGCTAGCATTACTACTAAGACTAATAATACAATTATAACTACTGCTGATGATAATAACGTGAATAAGGATATTCATACGAGTAAGACGACTACTAGTAATGCTAAATCTGCAAAACTAATCGTATGATTCATCATATGAATACTAAACCATAAGAAGAAGAGGAGTTGGAGGAGGATGAGGAGGAGGAGGAGGAGGAGGAGTTTTTTCCCCGTTGGCGGTTGAGCCAGAGCGCAGAAACAGTCTGAGGTATCAAACTGTGAGCCCCAAGTCCTGGCCACCATTTCGTGACCCCACACGGTGGTTGGCGGGGCCCGTGCCCTGCGTGGGCAGTCCGCGTGACTGGCCAGACCACCGTGCTGATTACGAAATGATGGTTGGGCCAGTTCGGGCAGCTTCTAACTGCGCAGGCAGACAGCAGCAGCCATCGGACGGGGCTACGACGAGGGCAATTTCCGTTCCGGCGCGTTCCGCAACGCTCTCAGAGCGTTCCAGAGCGCTCCGAGAAGGATATGGCGCCCGAGACCTCCGGAGCCGCCGTATCTCAGAGGTCCCCGATTTATCATCACCCGAATTTATTCTCGTCCTGGCTTCGTCTTGAACTCGGCGGCGAGCGGGGGGGGGAAGTGAGACGGGGCGGGCCTTCTCGGAAGGCTCGGAAGTCCCCCAGGCATCTGGGAAGCTTCCTTTCCCGAAGACAAAACAATTTCTCAGAAGGCCGGAGTCCTTCTGAGAAGCGCCGTCGCCTTCTGAGAGTCAATAACTCGTAAGAGTGACCGCTCGCCAGAGTGACCCTTGGTGCGGGCCCACTCGTGCCCCCCGATCGCTGAACGCGATGCGGTAGCAGCAGCCTGCTCGCTTGTGTCTGGTTTCCCCGCGGCCTCCAATAAGCCGCGCACCGAAGGTGACTCTTACCCAGGGTCACTCTTGCGTGGAGTCGAGGGAGGGCCCTCTCCTTCTCAGTTCCCCTCCTCGCTCGCCGCCGAGAACCACCCGGACCCCTCC